TGACATACAATTTACCTATACAACAAGCCTACACATGTACCCATGAACCTAAAATAAAAGGTAAAAGGATAAAAAATAACAGATGCCAGCAAGGCTTCAGAGGAGAGGAAATGCTTATACACTGTTGATAGGAATGTAAATTAGTTCAGCCATTGTGAAAAGCAGTTTGGAGATTTCTAAAAGAACTTAAAACTACCGCATGACTCTCAAAGAACTCAAAACTACCATATGAGCCAGCAATCTCATTACTGAATATATACCTAAAGGAATATAAAATTGTCCTACCATAAAGACACATGCACACATATGTTCACTGCAGCACTATTAACAATAGCGGAAGATATAGAATCAACCTAGATGCCCATCAATGGTGGAAAAAAGAAAATGCAGTATATATACACCATGGAATACTACACAGCCATGAGAAAGAGTGAAATCACATCCTTTGCAGCAACATGGATGTAACTGGAGGCCATTATCCTAAGTGAATTAGCACACGAACAGAAAACCAAATACCACATGTGTTAACTTATAAGTGGGAGCTAAATATTGGGTACATGTGGACATAAAGATAGGAATAATAAACAATGGGAACTACTAGGGGGGAAAGGAGGGAGGGGTGTGTGGGCTAGAAAACTACCTATTTGGTACTACGCCCATTACCCAAGTGATAGAATCATCCATACCCCAGATCTCAGCATCGCACAACATACCCATGTAACAAACTTGGATATGTACCCCCAAATCTAAAATAAAGTTGAAATTATTTTTTTAAAAGATATTCAAGTTTTAGGTCGAATATCAACCTAAACTTGAGTTGTCAAGTTTAGTAAGACAATTGTGAAAGTGTTTTTTTAATTGACTCAGTGGTTCATGTGAACAGCTAACAAAAGCAAATCAAAACAGCTGACAAAAGCTGTTCACATGAACCACCAAAAGAGTCAATTAAAAAATGACTTCCATAATTGTCTTACTTGAAGGCTCTATAGCAGTTATTTGCTTATTTCTTGAAACTTAGGCAATAAATGGTGGAACCAGAGAAAATTTATAAGATTGCATACTACAAAAATAAAAGAAATTGCATGCTATGAGCATCAGAGGAGTTTTGTCAGAAACCAGAGGAATAATTTCTTATTGAAAGCAGAAATTGGGAGCAAAATAATAAAAACAGCACAATTATTATATCATTATAAAATTAATAATATAGTATAAATATATTATAATATATATAAGTACAAACACATTGTATACTCATGTAATATATGTCATATAGCATATTACATAATATATAATTGATATAATCTAAATATAAAACAATATAATATTGTTATATTGTTATAATGTCTCTGCAGCTATGTAACTCTATCACTCTTGTACATGGAAAGAAGGATGTGCGTTCAACTCAGTGGAACCAGTGTCCTCAAGTGAAAGTCAGGTTACTGTTAAGGTAAAAAAAATAATAAAATAAAAAGGAGGGTTTTTAGTTAAGTGAAAAATGTTTGAAAGAATTTTCATTTAAAAAAATCAGAGAATACAGTGGAAATTTATGGAAAGCTTGTAGCTATGAGATAAGTCAGGAGCATGGAAGAACACAGTTGTACTAGGCTGAGTTCTGTACAAGAGCCCATCTTCTTAAAATTTTTCTATTTTTAATTTTTGTGGTACATAGTAGGTGTATATATTTATGGGGTATATGAGGTGCTTGATAATGGCATGATGTGATTGTTACACAACAGCTCATCTTTTTCAACAGGGACAGGACAGGGAGGAAAAATTATGGAATTTACTATGACCTTATTTTCATCTGGAACTTTTTAAAAAATTATGCTAACATAGACAGAGAGAGATAGTACATGGTATCTGAAACTCTAGAACATTTACTGTTGTAGAATATTTCCTATTATACAAATGAATTTAAGAAGGATGAAAAGTGTTCCATGCTTTTAGCTTCCTTGTAGATACCTGGGCTCAAAGGTATTCTTTTCTCTTTAAATGCAAGAAGCGAAATGGCTGGAAAATCCCCAAGGAATCCCTAACTGCTCTATGTATAGACAGTCTAAAACTTTGTGATTAGGAAGTTCAGAACCAACATTCTTTTATAACAATATTAATTAACTTCTTTTGACCCATATCCCCAAGAGCTGTTCTCATCTAAATCTCTAAGGCAAATAGGTCCATGAAAAAACATAATTCATTCACCTACTTAAAAAAAAACTGACAGAAGAAAGGAAAGGAAGCTTTACTCTATTGAGAAAAGGAAAGAAGTAGTTAAAAAAAATTCAAGTCACCTTTGATCTGGTGAAACATTTATAACATTCACGATCATTTAGTAAAAGCTTCAATGGAAGGATAGTCTAATAGTCATGCAGGTACAATGAAACACCAAAAACTTTACTGAGTTCCCTTCACTGAGCCATCACTTGGTAAGTATCCTTAAGAAGGAGTCCACTTAGCCACATCTAGATGAGTTGCTTGTATGAAATTCTATATTCAAAAAACTCAGTTACTGGATAATTGAAATAATTGAAAATTAAGCAAAGAGACAAAATATAGTCATTCTGCATGGGGAAAAATACCTGAGAATTAAGACTTAATAGTTTTTCATTGATTGATCAATTGATTTTAGAGACAAGGTCTCGCTGTGTTGCCCAAGCTGGAGTGCAATGCCATGGTCATAGCTCACTGCAACCTGGAACTGCTGGGCTCAAGCAATCCTGCCACCTCCATCTCCAGAGTAACTAGGACCACAGATGCTCACCACCACACCTGGCTAGTTTTTTCAAAATATTTGTAGAGATGGGGTCTTGCTATGCCGCCCAGGCTGATATCAAACTCCTGGCCTCAAGCAATCCTCCTGCTTCAGTCTCCCATAAATGGAAGTTGAGGAAGATCTACTCTGTAAGTTTTTAAGGCCACTTACCACAGGTATTACCTTCTATCTGCAAAAACAGACTTTAGAATTTGTGTTGTGCTGAATTTACTGGAATGTAGGGCAAGGAGGATATCTAGAACATAAAGGTGCTTGAAGGGCTGTCATGGTGAAAAGATTAGTATTTGATCTATAAAATCAGTACGTGAACATGTATTTGGAAGTTACATAACAGAGTTTTCCACTCAAGATAAGAGTTTTTCATCCAGCCAGTAGTAAAGCAAGATAGTAATTTACTAATCACTGAAGTCATCCAAGCAATGGCTGGATGCATATGTGGTGAGAGTGCTAATCAGAAGGATTCATTATGGGGTTGGATGGTCAGTGGCCTAGTAAGGGCTGTTTCATCTTTGAGAGATATATCTATGAGTTAGAAATAGAATTAGCAAAAAAAAAAAAAAAAAATTCAAAGTACAAAATACAATGCTATGAATTAATTCATACACTTATATATGATAAAGTTTGAGCCTCTTCCTATGTCTGCACATACAAAACAGGAAAATTTTACATTATGTAATTGATGCAATGTAAGTATACTTTTTTGTATATTTTTATTTACTAATACAGTATCACTTTTGTTAAATTTACTTTTCTGTGTATAGTTGCTCTAATCTTTCAATATTCTTAGTGAATGGAGTCAGAAGCCAATCTGGAATGATTCAGGTTAAGTAGCATTAGAAATATTTCTCAGTTAAAAATTAATGTTTTCACAACTTATTGTTATTAATTCAGATAAGAAACAATTAATGTTAATTGTTCATCTCCTTTCTTAAAAGAATCAATTTTTTAGCAAGAATTTATTAGGTATTGTCACATATATGATTTAATTTAAACCTCATGGCAGGTCATTTTGAACATGAGAATTATCTTTATTTCTCTGATAAAGAAGCTATGACTCAGAGGTGAAGAATTTAATTCAATAAAAAAGAGCTGTAAGTGGTAAAAACTAGGATTGGAACCCAGTTCTTTAAACTATCTCACATTAATCTAATTAATACTTGAGTCTTAAAATGTAAAATATACTTAAAGTAAAATTTAAAAATAGGAATAAAGATAATGCTTATCTCATAGGTTATAATGAAAATTAAAAGAGTAAACTGCTTTAGATTGTGTCTGGCAACTACCAAAAACTCAACAAATATTATCTATTATTATTGAAAACCAAAAACGACGTGTAAAATATAATTTGCCTGTTGAACAACCTCACGGAAATAATAATATAAGACACACAATAAACGTAACAAAATGCCTTGTATAGAAAGTTCACATATAATTTCCATGCTATTATATTAGTATATGTATTCATGATTAGCCACTTTTATGCAGTAACTTAGCAAATCATTTAGGAGTTTATTTAATGGAGAATAAAAGAAGTTACACTCTTTGAGGTGGGTCAGGGAGTCAAAAAGTACTGACAGCAGGACTCTAAGACTTTAATGGGCCTTTTAAATGTGCAGCCCAGCATTCTAAGATGAGAAAACTGAAGTTCAGAGTGTAAAATAAGATTTATTTTCTAAAAAAACAAAAAAAAAAGAGCACAGTGTTTCTACGCTATTGAGATATTAGCTACCTGAGCCCAGCTATGATATAGAACTATTCCCTCAGACTGAGAACCCATGAAAGAGATTTGTAAGTGACTTTACATTATCAACTGCTCTAGTAAAGTAAAATCTAATATTATAAGAACAAATCTTTCTTGGGTTTTTGTACTGAGTAACAAATAGTGAGGGCGAACATCCTATTGGAAAAGATTCTCAGGAATTAATAAGACAAGTGCACAAAAAATTTAGGTGGAAGAATATTTATTTGATCATTATTTATACAAGCAAGAAATGTAAACCATCTAAATATTCAGCACTAAGCAACTGGCTAAATATATCACAGTCCCACTGATAGAATCAAACGCTACACAATTCTCAAAAATGATTGTGAAGATTTCTAGGAATTGACCTGGAAAGATGCTGAATTGTTAAAAAAAAAAAAAAAAAAAAAGGAAGAAAGAAAGAAAAGAGAAAGAAAGGAAAAGGAAAAAAGCTAAAAAGCTAATTACAAAACAATCTGCTAGTATGATTTGTTTTAGATACACAGATATGTAATTTGAACTTTAAAATCGCCTAAAACTATATATACCGAAATGTCACTGTATCTCTAATAAGTTTAATTACAGATTATAATTTTCTTTTTTGCACTTGCATTTCTGAATTCTTTGCACTAAAAATGTCTTTCTTGTAATAATAAAAAGAAAAAGAAAATAAGAGGGCGAACTTTTTTATCCTGAGGAAAGTGCAGGGGGAGGTTGGAAAAAGAAAAAGAGGTGGTCACGATCGGTAGCAAAGAGTGGAGGAGATGCTGACTAATCTATTAAGGATTTACTAAAGAGGTGCTATCTAGATAAATAAAACACCAAGATCAGAGTTAAAGCATGGGTTGGTTTTTATCTAAAATATCATTTCTCAGATAGTGGGATAAAGAACAAACTAGATCTTGAAGTACAGTTTCACGACGTCAGCTGACAAAGTAAATAAAGTGAGATGAATTACCTCTGTTTTTGCCTTCCTGTATATAATTTGTGCCTCTCTGATGCTATCACACTATATATGGTGCTCTCAAATGATCATCCAGATATATAATGTATATTAGATACTTCACAGAACTTGAAGGTAGGTTTTAGACACAAGGTATAATCTAAGGGCGAGACACCCATTATTTCTTTTTGAGATGTCATCTAAAATGATTAATAGGAACCATGAGCTATTGTTCCTTTTAATCATCTCTGGACTGTTTTCACAGATGTGTACATGCTAAAGAAAGACTTTAAGAATTGGGAGACTCTGGATATCTACAAATACAGAAAAAACTAAATCAACCTTTATCTCTTACTCATGATAACCACCAAAGTGAAATAAAGTTTGTTATATAAGACTATAAAGTTTTTAAAGGATTTGCCACTCAGGAACTGTAAACCAGAATAATAGAAGGGCATTCTGATTAAGTATACATCAGTACATCAGCACATTTTTAGCTGATAAAATGAAGTCAAAAGAGTAGAAAAGATCAGAAATTTCATCTAATGAGAAGGAATAGAATTTTATAACTAGAAGGAAGCTTGGAGTTTTTTATCCAGCCTTATTGTATCATTTTACAGGAAAAAACAAACAAAAAAAAAAACATATACCTAAATCTTGACTTTTCCAACGTGGCACAATAATTACTTGCTGATAGAGGACTACACGCCAGGACTACGTCTCCCAATACAAGCCACTCTCCACAATACATTCTCAACACATATTTACAAAATTACCTAAGCTGATTTTGTTTTCTTGTTTCTTCAGGGAAACCCTGCCCACCATGTAGTAGTCGACATGGGAAACTGGAGCACTGTGACCGAATTCACCCTAATTGCCTTCCCAGCTCTCCTGGAGATTCGAATATCTCTCTTTGTGGTTCTTGTGTTAACTTACACATTAACAGCAACAGGAAACATCATCATCATCTCCCTGATATGGATTGATCATCGCTTGCAAACTCCAATGTACTTCTTCCTCAGTAATTTGTCCTCTCTGGATATCTTATACACCACTGTCATTACCCCAAAGTTGTTGGCCTGCCTCCTAGGAGAAAAGAAAACCATATCTTTTGCTGGTTGCATGACCCAAGCATATTTCTACTTCTTTCTGGGGACAGTGGGGTTTATCCTCTTGGCAGTAATGTCCTTTGACCGCTACGTGGCTATCTGCGACCCACTGCGCTACATGGTCATCATGAACAGCAGGGCCTGCCTCCTGCTGGTTCTGGGATGCTGGGTGGGGGCCTTCCTGTCTGTGTTGGTTCCAACCATTGCAGTGACACGGCTACCTTACTGTAGGAAAGAAATTAATCATTTTTTCTGTGACATTGCCCCTCTTTTACAGGTGGCCTGTATAAATACTCACCTCATTGAGAAGATAAACTTTCTCCTCTCTGCCCTTGTCATCCTGAGTTCCCTGGCATTCACTACTGGGTCCTACGTGTGCATAATTTCTACCATCCTACATATCCCTTCCACCCAGGGACGTCAGAAAGCTTTTTCTACCTGTGCTTCTCATATCACTGTTGTCTCCATTGCCTATGGGAGCAACATCTTTGTGTATGTGCGACCCAATCAGAACTCCTCACTGGATTATGACAAGGTAGCTGCTATCCTCATCACAGTGGTGACCCCTCTCCTGAATCCTTTTATCTACAGCTTGAGGAATGAGAAGGTAAAGGAAGTGTTGAGAGAGACAGTGAAAAGAATCATGACCTTGATACTAAGGAAAACTTGACACTGGTATGTACTACATCAAATACATTTCCTTTTTTTATTTTTTTTTTAAGTTCCAGGGTAAGTGTGCAGGATGTGCAGGTTTCTTACATAGTTAAACGTGTGCCATGGTGGTTTGCTGCACCTATCAATCCATTGCCTACGTATTAAGCCCAGCATGCATTTCTTCTTTTTCCTAATGCTCTCCCCAACCCCCAGCCCTCCCCTGACGGCACATATTTCTTATCTTCGAAACATTCTTTCTGCATGACTGTGTGGTGTTTGGTGTGCCAGAAACTGAGACGGTGCCCCGGGATGAGCAATGATCATGCCAAACTGAAAGCAAACTTTGATCATGTCTGGAGGGAAAATCCAATCCATGAAGTATCTTGCATATACCACAAAGGGAGCCTGGGTGCAGTGACTCACACCTGTAATCCCAACACTTTGGAAGGCCAAGATGGGAGGATTGATTGAGCCCTGGAAGTTGAGGCTGCAGTGAGCTGTGATTGTGCCACTACACTCCAGCCTGGGTGGCAGAGTGAGACCTCATTAAAAAATATATATATACCATGAAAGAAACCTAACAGGGATTCAGAGGTCTCCAATTCTAGTCCTGGCTAAGTTCACTTATTTTCCACAGATTCTGACCATGCTACAACTTATCCAATCCTCAATGTCTCTCTCCATTTTTAAATAAAATAATAGATAATAAAACATCACTACTTCTAGTAAGGCATGTAAAGTTAAAAAAATATTTTCTTATTAGGCACTTTTGAATATTTCTGGAGACTTGGTTTTAACCTGTATTGGCCAGATTAAGTAACGATGATGTGAGAAATGAGAGAAAAAGAGGTATGACTTAGGAAGGTATCAAAGCCTCTGGCTATACAGAGTGAAAGATATTTGATGAGAAAAGGAACACAGGGCTGGGCGCGGCGGCTCACACCTGTAATACCAGCACTTTGGGAGGCTGACACAGGCAGATCACTTGAGGTCAGGAGTTCAAGACCAGTCTGGCCAACATGGTAAAACCCTGTCTCTACTAAAAATACAAAAATTAGCTGCACGTGGTGGTGCATGCCTATAATCTCAGCTGCTTGAGAGGCTGAGGCATGAGAATTGCTTGAACCTGGGAGGCAGAGGTTGCTATGAGCCAAGATTACGCCACTGCACTCCAGCCTGGGTGACAGAGTGAGACTCCGTCTAAAAAACAAAAAGAAAAAGAAGAAAGAGACACAGGAGGGGTTTCTTAGGGGTGGACCTATTGAACTGAAGGTTTTTGAGGGTCATCCAGTTATAAGTTGTCAGTTGGATAATTATTTGAAGCTTAGGAGAAAAACTTGAGCTAGAGATATAATTTATGGAGTCATCAAATATATTAACGATAATGAAAGCCATAAAAGTGACTGAGATCAACAGGGAAGAGTACAAAAGGAGATGATAATCCATAAATTAGTTTAAGGATGGATGACCAAGCAGAAGAGAAACCAGGAGGTACACCATGAAAGATAGTATGGAAGACAAAGGGTGAACGTTTCAAGTGGCATGATAAAGAATGAAAAATATCTGTTGCATTTAGTGGCAACAAATCCTGAATTACTTTAGTAAAAAATTTAATAGAATTTTGGGGGTACAATTCAAAATACTGTAGGTAGAACAATGTGTAGCTATAAATAAATGGATAATATAAATATAGAAAACACTTTCAAGAAGGCTGACTGAGAATATAAGCAGTATTACAACACAGGTTGAGTATCCCTAATCCAAAAATTTGCAATCAGAAATCTTCCAAAATCTGAAACTTCTTGAGTATTTACATGATATTAAAGGAAACGCACTCACTGGAGAATTTCAGATTCTTTAGTTTTGGATTAAGTATGCTTAACTGGTAACTATAATGCAAATATTCTAAAATCTTAATAAATCCAAGTCCAAAACACTTCTGGTCCCAAGCATTTCAGATAAGAGATACTCAACCTATATGAATGAAGGAAACATGGGTTCAAGGAAAGATTATTTTCCAGTGGAAGATGTGTTTGCTTTTTAAAAATATTGGTTGAAGTGTAGCACTAGGGATAGGCTGAGGCAACAGAAGAACAAGGAATTATCAGCATGGGGGGTTTCCTGGGATGGTGAAAGGGGATGACATTGAGGCCATTAGTAGAAGGAGAGTTGCTGGCAGAAGTTAATGTTACTGACTGGTAAATAGGAATGGATGCATCCAGAAGTGGCACCATGCCAGGTAACAATAAGGTGCAAATTTTCACAGTCCTTTTTGATAGGCGGCCCAAAGTGAATCTTAAGAAGACCTAGAAGCTTGGTACCTGGCTTCAGGTAGAAAATGACCAAAGGAAAATATAGCTTTGCAGAGTAGAGCAAAATAATTAAGTTCATCATTGAGCAGTATAATGCATTAATGTTCACAGGTCAAAAGGAATTCATTCATCCATTTACTAAATGTTGTTTGAATGTCTACTGTGTACCAATGAACAGAACAGAAAAAATCCCTGCTTTTTGATGAGTTTGAATTATAGACAGAGATATGCCATAAGTAAAAATATAATAGAGAAAAAAATATTAAAAGTTGCCAGGTTACAAAAGTTATGAAAAAAAAATTAAAGCAGGGAAGGGAACAGAGAGTTTGGAGGACAACTTTCAAGTGTTAATAAGGTGGTTAAGAAAGCCTTCTCTGAGAAGGTGATCTGTGAATAAAGATTTCAAGGAGATGAGTATATGAGCCATAAAACTACCTGGGAGAAAAACCAGACAAAGTAGGACAAAGACCCTATGCTGTGGAAAGAGTAAGGGAAGCAGGTCCTTGTGCTATAACAAACAGCCATTGAGGGCAGAAATTATCTGAGAGCCTCTGCTGCCAGATCCCGAGGACCACACGAGCACCAAGATGGGAATCCAAGTTCATTGGTGTGCTGCACTGGAACTAAAGGCCAGAACAAACTAGAAGGTTTTACTAAGCCCATACTGATTAGGAATTGATCATCAAGCACAGCCATATATAATCAATAAATACTGACTGACTATATGTAAGAAAATTTCTTAAGTAAAACCATAAGTGATTTTTACTTATAATGTCATTTTTTTTCAATGAATTGGTTTCGTAACAAGTTTGAAGCTAAAGCCTTTCATTTATGTTTTTATAAGCAGGAAACATCTGAAATAGGAGAATGATATGGTTTGGCTCTGTGTCCTCTCCCAAATCCCACCTCCAATTGTAGTCCCTATGTGTTGAGGGAGGGACTGATAATCCCCATGTGTCAAGAGGGGGAGGTGACTGGATTATGGAGGCGGTTCCCCCATGCTGTTCTTGTGTTAGTGAGCGAGTTCTCACAAGATCTGATGGTTTTATAAATATTTGACAGTTCCTCCTTCACACACTCGCTCTTTCCTGCTGCCTTGTGTAAAAGGTACTTGCTTCTTCTTCGTCTTCCACCATGATTGTAAGTTTCCTGAGGCCTCCACAGCCATGCAGAACTGTGAGTCAATTAAACCTCTTTCCCTTATAAATTACCCAGTCTCGGATATGTCTTTACAGCAGTGTGAAAATGGACTAATACTGAGACAAATCAAAATACTTCATCAGTTAGTACAGTGATTCTCAAAATCTAGTTCATAGGTCAGCAGCTTTAACATTACCTAGGAACGTGTTAGACATAGAATTTCTCAAGCACCACCCCAGACCCACTACACCTGTGACACTGGAGATGAAGCTCAGCAATATGTGTTTTAATAAGCCTTGCAGATGATCCTGAAGAATACAAAAGTTTGAGAACCAGGACTTAGGGAGAACCAGTCAAGCTACTGGTTACCATGAAATCTATATCATTGCTAGGCCTCAGGAAGAGCCTTAATTAAATGTTACCAAGAAAAAAAAAGTCATAAAATGTAGTTGATATTTGTTAAAGATCATATAACATACAACAGTGGTCCCCAATCTTTTTGGCACCAGGGACCAGTTTCATGGAAGACAGTTTTTCCATAGCCAGGTGGAGGCAGAGGGTTGACTTTGGAATGATTCAAGCATATTACTTTTATTGTGCACTTTATTTCTATTATAATATGTAATAAAATAATTATACAATTCACCATAATGTAGAATCAGTGGGAGCCCTGAGCTTGTTTGCCCGCAACTAGATGGTCTCATCTGGGAGTGATGGGAGATAGTGACAGATCATCAGGCATTAGATTCTCATAAGGAGCATGAAAACTAGATCCTTCACAGGTACAGTTCACAATAAGGTGTCTGCTCCTAAGAATCTAATGCCATTACTGATCTAACAGGAGACAGAACTCAGGCCGTTATGCTAATGATGGGGAGTGGCTGTAAATACAGATGAAGTTTCGGTTGCTCACCCACCGCTCACCTCCTGCTGTGTGGCCAAGTTCCTAACAGGCCACGAACCTGTATGGGCAGCAGTCCATGACCTGGGGGTTAGGTACCTCTGGCATATAGTATTATTAATATGAGTATGATAATTAGGATTATCATTATTCTTATCATAGGTGCTTAATTATATCTGTTCATTTACTGTTACCAAATGGTTGAATTAGCTCCAAAAGCTGAGCTTCTTCCTATGTATAGAGAAGTATCTTGCTGAAGCACTAGAAATAGCTGCCAAAGTACCTTGTGTGTGTGTTTTTTATGGGCATTTGCCAATAAAATAAAGACTTGCTAGACAATGAGTTGTATTAAAGGCCGACAGTTGTATTAAAGGCCAGATTTGTTGGTCCTTTTCTCAGTCACCTAAATTTTTGTGATTTAAATGTCTCTGGCTCTTTCCGGCAAGAAAAAAAAAAACCCTTTAGTTTAACTTTATAGTTTAATTACCATTGTATACATTATGGTCATTTTCCCTCAGAACTCATTAGTCAGTCAAGCATTTATTCATAGAAGATGTGCTGAGCACACCTGAATTATGATCTTGGGCAAGTTATTGAATCTTTCGGTATCTCAGTTTCTTACTTATCTACAAAATGATAATTTCTATGGTGTGGGGCTAAAGTAAAATAAACCTGAAAGCACTTATATCAGTTGTATGATATAGAAATGCTGGATGAATATTACTTATCT